CAGGACATAGGCATGGGCAAAGACTTCATGACTAAAACACCAAAAGAAATGGCAACAAAAGCCAGAATTGACAAATGGGATCTAATTAAACTAAAGAGCTTCTGCACAGCAAAAGACAGTATCATCAGAGTGAACAGCCAACCTACAGAAAGGGAGAAAATTTTTGCAATCTATCCATCTGACAAGGGCTAACATCCAAAATCTACAAAGAACTTAAACAGGTTTACAAGAAAAAAAAAACCCCATTAAAAAGTGGGTGAAGAAGATGAACAGACACTTCTCAAAAAGATATTTATGCGACCAACAAACATATGTAAAAAAGCTCATCATCACTGGTCATTAGAGAAATGCAAATCAAAACCACAATGAGATACCATCTCACACCAGTTAGAATGGCAATCATTAAAAAGTCAGGAAACAACAGGTGCTAAGAGAGGATGTGGAGAAATAGGAACGCTTTTACTCTGTTGGTGGGAGTGTAAATTAGTTCAACCATTGTGGAAGATAGTATGGCAATTCCTCAAGGATCTAGAACCAGAAATACCATTTGACCCAGTAATCACATTACTGGCTATATACCCAAAGGATTCTAAATCATTCTACTGTACACATGCACACATATGTTTATTGTGGCACTATTCACAATAGCAAAGACTTGGAACCAACCCAAATGCCCATCAATGATAGGCTGGATAAAGAAAATCTGGCACATATACACCATGGAATACTATGCAGCCATAAAAAAGGATGAGTTCATGTCCTTTGCAGGGAGATGTATGAAGCCAGAAACCATCATTCTCAGCAAACTAATAAAAGAACGGAAAACCAAACACCGCATGTTCTCACTCATAAGTGGGAGCTGAACAATGAGAATACATGGACACAGGGAGGGGAACATCGCATACCAGGGCCTGTCAGGGGATGGGGGGCTGGGGGAGGGATAGCATTAGAAGAAATACCTAATGTAGATGACAGGTTGATGGGTGCAGCAAACCACCGTGGCATGTGTATACCTATGTAACAAAACTGCCCGTTCTGCCCATGTACCCCAGAACCTCAAGTATTAAAAAAAAATGGCCCAAAAAATGAAAGTGTTGTATATATTGGTTTGTAATCTCCCTTTTTTGGTAGCAACTTGTCATGACTACCTCTTCATGTGAATTAATGCTCCCCTATACTACCCCATCAGTTTAGAGGCTATATGATATTCCATTGTATGGCTGGATCATAACGTATTTTGTTAAGCTCCTAATTTAATTTTTTTAATTAATTTATTTATTTATTTTGAGACTGAGTCTTTCTCTGTTGCTCAGGCTGGAGTGCAGCGGCATGATCTCAGCTCACTGCAACCTCTGCCTCCCGGGTTCACGTGATTCTCCTGCCTCAGCCTCCTGAGTAGCTGGGATTATAGGTGCATGCCACCACGCCCGGCTAATTTTTATAGTTTTAGTAGAAACTGGGTTTCACCATGTTGACCAGGCTGGTCTCAAGCTCCTGACCTCATGATCTGCCCACCTGGGCCTCCCAAAGTGCTGGGATTGCAGACTTTTTTTTGTTTTGTTTTGTTTTTTGAGATGGAGTTTCCCTCTTATTGTACAGGCTGGAGTGCAATGGCATGATCTTGGCTCACTGCAACCTCCTCCTCCCAGGTTCAAGCGATTCTCTTGCCTCAGCCTCCCAAGTAGCTGGGATTACAGGTGTGCGCCATTATGCCCAGCTAATTTTTTTTGTATTTTTAGCAGAGATGGGGTTTCACCGTGTTGGTCAGGCTGGTCTCAAACTCCTGACCTCATGTGATCCACCCACCTCCGTCTCCCAGAGCGCTGGGATTACAGTCATGACCCACCTCTCTCAGCCCCTAATTTTAGCAATTTAGGTTCATTCCAAATTTTTGTTGTTAATATTGCCAAAAACATTTATTCTTATTTTCTTAGGTAAATTTCTCAACCTGTAATCACTAGATCAAAGATTCAAAAACCTTTCTTAAGTTTTTATAGCACAATTCTTTGAAATCCAGACTACCTTTTCTGTGTATGTTCCATCTAAGCAATTACCATGCTGAGCTGTGTCAGCTGTCCTACCTGCCGCCTCTGCCAGATGATGGGCTTTTAGGGACCAGGATTATTTCTTGTGCATTTTTATATCTCAGAACCCACCATGGTGCCTGGGACATGGTAGGCTCATAGAGATGAAAATCAAAACTAGCATTTATTAAGTACTTCCCAAGATCCAGGGCACAGTGACACCAAAGAGGAATGTTACCACCATTCTATTTCACAAACGTAGAAAATTGGGCTTAGAGAGGTAAATGTTAGAACTGTGTATATCATTATGTCACAGGACAAATATTTGTTGAATGAAGATGTCACTTCAGGAATATTGTTTCTATGGAATAAAAGTAACTGCAAACTTGATGATCAGTCTCACTAATTATGACCCAGTATGTTTGAAGAACTTATTGTTTGACTTAGAGATGTTGATTTTGCATGTGTTGATATTCAGTGTCCCATGTTTTAGATTTCAAGATTTCTCCTAATAACTTGTTCCTTTATGAGCTCTGTAGGGGTGATTAAGTCATGTCTCCCATATCCTTCCATCACCAGCTTTTTTTTTTTTTTTTTTTTTTGAGATGGAATCTCACTCTGTTGCCCAGACTGGAATACAGTGGCATGATATTGGCTTACTGCAACCTCCACCTCCTGGGTTCAAGTGATTCTCCTGCCTCAGCCTCCCGAGTAGCTGGGACTAAGGCAAGGTGCCACCACACCTGGCTAATTTTTTTATATTTTTATTAGAGATGGAGTTTCACCATGCTGGTAAGGCTGGTCTCAAACTCCTGACCTCAGTTGATCTGCCCACCTCAGCCTTCCAAAGTGCTGGGTTATAGGCCTGAGCCACCACGCCCAGCCCCATCACCAGCTTCTTTGCCTAATACAAAGTTCAAAACACTTGAATAGGTTTCAGAAGCACGTGGAAGACTCATTAAAGCACAGCTTGTGCACTCCCACCCTGAGTTTCTGATCCGACAAACTAGATGAGGCCTGAGAATTTTAATTTCTAACAAGATCTCAGGTGAAACTGCTGCTGCTGGCCCAGAGACCCATTTTGAGAACCATTTAGATTCCAGTGGACTGTTGTACCCTGTTTACACTGTTGTACGCTCTGCTGCTCCAGGTCCCCTCCCCACCTTTTTGCTGTGTTCTGAAGGCACAATCTACCTATACCACCATGTGTGAAGAGAGATCCCTTGTTATAATCAGGCCCTTCTCTTGGGGGCCTTTTAGCCAGCAGGTTGACCCAGTGAGCAAGAAAAGCTCTGAACTGGGACTAATCCACTTTGGCTTCTAGATGCAGCTCTACCTGACGTAACATAACCCCAGGCAAGTCCCTGCTTATGTCTTTTCTCCACACAGAGAGAGTGAGAGGGCTTCAATCTCTAAGGACTCCGGGTCTCTGCTTCTTCTCAAATGTGTATTCAAGCAACTCACTCATCCCTGCCCTGGCCATGTAGCAGACCACTATTTAAAAAAAAGGCCTCATTTTCCGGTCATCGGACTTCAGAGGCCCTAATTGCCTTCATTGAATTTACTAATTCAGTTACTCTTTTATTATTTCTTAGCCTCAGGATTCTTTGTTCTCTGTAGAGTGAGAAAGGCTTCTGTTTATAGCACATTATTTCATGCAGCCATGCTGTGACTTTTTTGTTTATATTAAATACTAAATAAATAATGTCACAGTACTATAGTTTAAAGGTTAATAAAGGGGTCAAGTGCGGTGGCTTGACCGCAGTTTGGGAGCCTGAGGCAGGTGGATCATCTGAGGTCAGGAATTCAATACCAGCCTGGGCAACATGGTGAAACCCCATCTCGACTAAAAACACAAAAATTAGCCGGCATGGTGATGCATGCTTGTAATTCCAGCTACTCAGGAGGCTGAGGCAGGAGAATCGCTTGAACCTGGGAGGTGGAGGTTGCAGTGAGCTGAGATCACACCTAGCCTGGGTGACATAGTGAGACTCCATCTCAAAATAAATAAATAAAGGTTAATAAAAGGTTAAAACAATTTTATATCATATCACTTACAACCAGTTTCTCACCTCAGAGTAAATCCAGTGAGACCTATTAGAAAAATGGCTGAGATTAGGATAAATAGCCAGTGCATCTGAGGCTTAATACCTAGGTGATGGGTTGATAGGTGCAGCAAACCACTGTGGCACATGTTTACCCACATAACAAACCTGGCACAGGTATCAATCAGTCAACAATCAAACAGTCAAGCACAGGTATCCCCTGAACTTTAAATTAAATTAAAAAAAGAAAAGTGAGTACTGCTGAATGCCCTTGCAAATCCACAGGGTAGGAACAAATATAGTCTTGCTTCTTATGATTTAGGTATCCAATAACAAATGCAGGGGCCCAGTGATGGTCCAGTGATAGGAACAGCAGCCTCAAGGGCTCTAGGTTCTGTGGGTACAAACAGTGGAGCCTGTTATCCTGAAGGAAAATCTCAGGAGGAAACACTCAAATCTCATTCAGCTCCATTTAATGCCAGCCATTAGAGTGAGGACAAGCTCCCCAGAAAGCATCTTTTTTGACTGGCTGACTAGAGGGTAAAGTTCTAACCAAATGTATTTTATGCCTACAAATTATTTTGAATTAATGTTTTTAAAGGGGGGAAAAATCTGAAAAAGCCCTCTTTTGAATCCAAAATACTTTTCTCGGTAGGGAATCCTTGCCTTTTGCCCTTAGATGGGAAAGAGTACCTGAGACTTTTAAGTCCTACCTCTTTTTCAGACCACTAGGGTGGGAGACCTTCTTGATTTGGGGAGGCAGAGTGATTTCTTGGTGCTATAGGTAAGATACTATCTTCCCTGGGATTTCTTTGGAACAAGGACAGAATCAGGAAGTAGTTTACCGCCATCCTCACCCACCACAGGAACTGGATTTCCCATTCTTCTTCTGAGGTCATCTCAGGTTTATGAAGTTTCTGCTTCCTTCTAGGTGGAGGCCGAGTTGATTGACAAGCTGGACAGCATGGTATCAGAAGGGAAAGGTGACGAGAGCTACAGGGAGCTCTTCAGCCTACTGTAAGCTGCTCCAGCCCCAGGCACATCACAATGGGGGATGGGATGAAGTGGGCCAATGAAAAGTAGAGTTTGCAACTGCACTGGCAGGCTTTAGAGTTTAGTTATCAAGAGAGACCTGGGTTGTTCCTGATGGTAGCAATGCTCAACTTCTGTCACCAAGAAACCAAGCTCTTTCAGGGATTCCCATAGTTGACTGAAAAGATAGAAAACAGGTAACCTCTGAGCTCCTAGATTTGCTGAAAGGAAAAGGATCATTGTTTGTCTTCATAACATGCACTGCATCTGGATGGGGGGCAGACAGTTCATGGAGACTCAGTTCTGGGCTCAATGCTGGCATTTCAAGGTGGGGGATAAATCCTCCTTTGAGAGACAGGTTCCTGATTGCCCTGCTTGGTAAGTTAGTACAGTCAGGTTGAAAAACATTGCAGTGAGCTCTTGAACAAGCTGCAACACTCTTTCCAGGCCAGTTTTCATGTTTGTGGAATGAGATGGTTGTACTGAATGATGTCAGGGTTCTGGGTCCTCCATTCCATGGTTTCTGGCTTAAGTTGATGGAGGCAAAGAGACCTGAAGAGAGACCCAGGGGAACTATGAGCCTCCCAAGTAGATAGTGATGTTGCTATTTTATCTTCCTAAAAAATGAAATCTTAAGATATTTACAGCTCTAGAATACCCTCCCTGTTGTACTTATGTCCAACTTTGAGATGTTCATTGTTTTAGTTCCATTTTGAAAACAAACCTCTAGCGTATTTTTTCAGGAATAATACTATCCATTTGCTTAGAACTTTCCAGTGTGCAAAATGTGTTGGCATTTCTTACCTTATTTGATCCTCACAACATACCTGCAAGGTGTGCAGAGTAGAAATTATCTTCCCTCCCACTTGAGAAATAAAGAACTGGGCTCAGGGAAGTGCCAGCATGCCCTCAGTTGTGTCATCAGTAACAGACAGCTCTGGAAGGAGGGCCCAGATCTTCTAATTTCCAGATGGGGGAGTCTTTCCGCTATACCATGCCCACTTTGTTTCTTGAGGAGTCATGAGGTAAAATGTAAATTTATTTTAAATTTAAATAATTATAATTTGTGAAAATGAATCCATCCTTTAGTATTTCTTTTTTAGCCGAAGATTTGTCTAATTGTGGAAACAAGGCAGTGTTCCTTGGCCGCTAACAAATGACTGCTACAAAGGAAAAAGTACAAAAATAATCTGCAATTACTAGTTACCTGACCAAATCATGTTTATAAGCTCTTCTAAAACAGTCTAAGAACTGAGAACCACTCATAACATGGAGCAGCATTTTCAAATTTGTGTTTTTGGAAGCTAAAAAAAAAATGTAAATCATGGGTGAATTAGTTTAGAAAAGATTCAACTAAGCAAAATTGAACAAGCCTCTTTATTAGGACTTCTCAAAGACTTTGTTGTGCAAAAGGATATGAGCTGGGTGCAGTGGTACTTACCTGTAATCCCAGCTACTTGGGAGGCTAAGGTGGCAGGATTGCTTGAGCCTGGGAGTTCGAGATTATCCTGAGCAACACAGCAAGACCCCATCTCAAAAAAAAAAAAAAAGGATATGAAAAATCTCCAACAGGAGGGTATAGCGATCAGCATTTCCCAATTTCCCATGCTTGTGTGCTCACAGAACATTTCCACCTGTCCTCTAGGACAGAGACCTCTGCAGAACACAGTTGAAAAATGCTGGTACATTTCTCAATGGATAAAGCCGCAGAAGTCAGATTCAGTGTTCTTAACCTTCTCTAACAACAGGAGTTACCTGGAGAACCCTCACTTTCCCAGAAGCCTGGCCTAGGCAGTATGCTCTGTGCAAGGAGACAGTCATCACTGTAGCAGCAGCATTAACAGCAGTCAGGCTGTGGGTTTGAGTACCCAGTGCTAGACCCCTAGCTGGGTGTGCCACCCCAGGTGACTCTCATGACCTTAGAGAGCAAGGGACAGTGTGGAAAGGAATCAGGAATAAAATTGTATGGAGTGAAGGATGGCTCATCACTGGAGCGAGCCGAAAGAGTTCAAGTCATTGTCCCTTAGGAAAGACCTGTGGGATGGCAGAGGATCTCAGAAGCCAGGCTTTTGGAGAAGCCAGGGGCTGCCCTGAGGTACCAGGAGCATGAGGTTGTCAAGTAAGAAAAGAACCTGGGCATTTAGCTCCTGGCTCTGGCACATTTTGCTTGGGAGCATTCCCTGCAACAGTAGGATGGCCAAGTATAGCTCCTGGACTTGCTCACTTTCCCTTATTTTGGGGCCCCAAGACTAATGAGAATCTTTCCCTTAGTTTCCATGAAGATGATGGGTTTAGGCTGGGTACGGTGGCTCATGCCCATAATCCAAACACTTTGGGAGGCCAAGGCAGGAGAATCACTTGAGGCTAGGAGTTCAAGACCAGACTGGGCAACATAGCAAGACCCCATCTTAAAAAAGAAAAATTAAAATTTTGAAAAACGGAGCTTGGTTTGTATGTTTGCTGAGGATGACTCTGGGCAGTGATAAAGACAGTCAGCCATTGGCAAAGCCAGGCTTATCCCTCAGTGGGCTCTTGTTCAACTACTCCTTCAGAACAGAAGGTAGTTACAGTGTATGCCTAAGGTGGCTGGAGCCGAGCCCCTCCCTCCCCTCCTCCTCAGTGGCATCCTTAGGAACTTGTACATGGAAATAGAAGACGTGTTTTCATTTGTTGCTGCCAGTTCAGTAACCTCCTTGTCTTTGCTTTCTGCTGCATGGAGTAGAACCCAGCTGTTTGGGCCCTACCCCAGGTAAGACTGCAGTGTGGTAAGTCTGCTGTCTCCAGATCCATCACAGCCTCCATGGGCTCTTGGACTTCACTCTTGTGCCCAGGGGAAGGCTCATGAATTGTGTTTGCTTTCTCCACCCCTCCACCAATAGCCTGTTGGAGAAGGTTGAACAAGAAACATGGCGTGAGACCGGCATTTCCTTTGTGACCTCAGTCACCCGCCTCATGGAACGTCTTCTTGACTACAGGTATCTTCTCAGCCGCCCGCTCACCTCTTCTTTTGTCAGGATACTCTCTCTAGCAAGGGAATCCCCCTGACCTGAAAACTGAGACCATGTGCCCTTCATGGGGAGCACTGTTGTGATATTGGGTGCCATCACCAGTCAGTAGGAATCTGCTGATGACCAAGAAGAGACAGAGACAGAGACTTTTCCCAGGGGTAGGCTAGGGCCTCCTGGGATTCCCCGCTAAAATGTGGGCACATGTACCCAGGAGGGATCTTGGGGATATGTAGTCATCTGGCCTTCCATCCAGAAGGGTTAAGGCTCAGAGGAGTGGGCACAGCAAGAGGGAAGAGTAAAGCTATCTCCAGAGCAGGGCAGGGAACAGCTATAGGTCCTTAGTGCAGACTTTCCTCCGAACCATATGGCAGATGAGCAGAGAAGTATCACCTAGAGGACATGAAGTTGGCTTTTCCAGGGACTAGGGACCCCACTTTTCAATGCCTGTATTCTTTGTCTAAAGTCTACTTATTTCTGTCCCCTGGTCATGGCCAGAATAGATTAGAGGAAACAGCCTGTGAGCTCAGAGATCTTCATATTATGTTCAGTCTGGGAGTTCATGTGAAATAAGAATTTTTTTTTTTTTTGAAGACAGTCTTGCTTTGTCACCCAGACTGGAGGGCAATCATGGCTCACTGCAGCCTCGAAGTCCTAGGCTCAAGCTGTCCTCCCACCTCAGTCTCCGGAGTAGCTGAGGCTACAAGCCCATGCCACCATGCCCGGCTAATTTTTTGTTTTTTGGTTTTTGTTTTTTGTTTTTGTAGCGACAAGGTCCCACTGTGTTGCCCAGGCTGGTCTCAAATTCCTGAGCTCAAGTGATCCTCCCACCTCGACCTCCCAAAGTGCTGAGATTACAGGCCTGAGCTGCTGCGCCCAGCCAGAATTAGAATTTCTTAATGAAAGTCTGCCTTCTCAGTTGTATCATGGCTTTTGAATTAGTCCAAACATGACAATGAAACCACAACTGCAGCCTTAATCATTCTCTCAGCAGGGTTCAGGTGATGGCTAAAGGTACCTTTTGGGAGCCTGGAGGAAGGTGAGGAGAAATGATAAATGAAACCCAGCTCCAAGCAATAGTTGCCTTCTCTGTGCTATAAGCTGTGCAAATGCCAAATGAGGAGAGCATTTTGAGCTCATGGATCAGGAAATAGGAGAGTTAAGCCTGGCTCCAGTTGCTGCTGAAGTAGAAGGTGCTGCTGTGCAAAAGACTCAGGTGTCCAATGCACTGGCCTGGATATGGAAATGGAATTCCTGAGAAATGTACTCTCGTCTTAAGCATCCCCCCATTCTGTAGCACAGCTATGCTTGTGTGAACTTCAGGCCGTTTTTCCTGGGCCTTTCAAGTTCAAAGCTGGCCTTGGGGCCCCTTTTACAGCAAGAGACTTCTTTGTTCACACCAGGTCCGTAGCTTCTCCTGCAGCTACAATTAGAAAGGGAAGAGAGGTGAACAAAGTGCTGCACCTCCCCCTTACCAAAACATTTTCTAAAGTTTGGTTTCATTCACCGTGTCCTAACGAAGGAGCAGAAAATAATTTCTTAGGCTCCAAGGCTTTGTTCTAGCTGCCTGTTTGATTTCTTTAGCTACCTTCTACAAGCTGCTCAAACTCATGCCCAAAACCAACTTCATTCTCTATTTCTTGTCTCGGTGGTGGTATCTACAAAAAGTCCAAAATCCTTAATATGGCATCACTGGCCTTTGCTCACTTCTCCAGACCAATCTGCTGCTAGTCCCCAGTACTCATGCCCTACACCCCAGCCTCCCAGTGTTGCTCCTTGCTAATGTGAAAGGAAACAGCATAATATTGATGATGGCCCCTGTCTATTGAAAATCCACCACTTGAGTGCTCTACATACATTTTCTCTAATCCTATAAGCATCCTCATTCTTTTTATCCATGAGGAGAAACTAAGAGGTACCACTGCTAGGATCTGAATCCAGATCTAGCTGACTCAAGAACCATGCCCTGTCTCTTTCTCCATGTTGTCACCACTTAACCACTTGTATTTTCCCTTCAGGTTTCTCTATATGCTGTGTTCTCTCCCAAGAGTGGTCTTCCAACTCACCCCTATTAAGGAAGCTTTCCCAAGCCAGGAGCTTACCTGTCTGTGCACACATTGAACTATGATCATTTATCATCTTTCTGTCTTACCTTACAAAAGAGGACCAGCTCCTTGAGGATAGGAACCTTGTCCTTATCTCCCTGTTCCCCTGTATGGGGGCTGGCTCCTGGCAGGTACAGAGTAAATAATGAGTGATAAACTTGTTGGAAAGACCATGCAGAAACCAAGCAACTCTTTTCCTCTACCTCAATGCAGTTAGTTCAAGAACTTACTAAGAAAAGAGTTATTGGCCAGGCACAATGGCACATGCCTGTAATCCCAACACTGTGGGAGACCAAGGCAGGCAAATTGCTTGAGCTCAGGAGTTCGAGACCAACCTGGGCAATATGGTGAAACCCCATCTCTATGAAAAATTGGAAAAGTAGCCAGGTGTGGTGGCATGCACCTGTGGTCCCAGCTATTTTGGAGACTGAGGTGGGCAAATCACTTTATCTGGGGAGGTGGAGGATGCAGTGAGCCAAGATTGCGCCACTGAACTCCAGCCTGGGTGACAAAATGAGACCCTGTCTCAAAAAAAAAAAAAGTAAAAGAAAATAGTTGTTGATATGACTCAAGGAAAGGACATCAAACAAAAAGGAAAAAAATAATTGTTCAGAGTTTTAAAATATATACATTGATTAAACATAATCAACAGATTGTACTCTAGAATTACCTGAACTTGTTATGTAAGATTCAGTGTTAGACTAGCAAAACTTTAGATACTCAAAGGAGTACCTCGTCAGCTTTTATATCAATGTCTTTAACTTTTGTGTGAATTTCAGACACTCTGTGTCAAACATGAAGATTCTCACTGGTAGTAACTATATTTCCCAGGATAGGAAGCAGGGCCCTAGAAGGGTTTTCTTTGTGCCTGGAACAGACAGGGACAGAGCTAGAGTTGCCAAGCCCTTGTGGCTCAAAGTGGAACCTGTACCTGGAACGGGCAACTGAAGGTTATGAAGCCTGCCTTTCCCAGACCCCTCGGGTTGCAATGAGGGCTGCCTGGTCACTGATGTAGTCCCCAGCCAGCCCACTACCCAGGTGAGCCAGATGCTTCAGAAGCCTCTTTCAGGAGTCTTCCCTGCTCACCCTTCAGAGAAAGAGCAAGAGGGAAAGCAACAGCTGCACCTAAGTCAAACTTTAAAAGGCATCCACCATGAAGTAGCCACACAGAAGTGATGCAAAGCTACACAAAAAAAGAGTCTGCTGTCAGCAGTGCAGAGGAGAAGCAGTCATAGAGCACAGAAGTGTATAGGATGCCCCTGGTATCACAGTGTTGAGGCCAGTGCCTTTCTGTTTAAGGGACTTAGCTATGAAGTTCTGGTTATGGCCAAACAGAAGTTAATGCTTGGTAAGTGTTTCAGATGCTTTATAGAAAATACAAATCACTAAATGGAAATGGAATTCCTGGGAAATGTGCTCTTGTCTTAAGCATCCCCCCATTCTGTAGCACAGCTACATGCCTGCCTGTGGCTACACTAAATGCTGAAGTGGCGAGGTAAGATCTCACTGCCCTTCATGGGGCCAACTTACTGGGGAGACAGATGCCTTCTACCATTGTGTGGGTTGCTTGTAACAACTTGGCCATCTGACCTCAGGCTCACTTCTCTTGAAAAGTCAAGCAGTTTCCTGGCCCTGCTAACACTAAAGGGACAGGTTCTGCAGAAGGATGTTCAGGACCCTCATGTCTGGCTACATAGGAACCAAATGTCTTATGTGGTGATAGGTCAACCCCCCCCTCAAGAAAGGAGGGCCTTGGTTCCAAACATCACAAACCTGTCAACTCTGACTGGAGACTTCCACAGGAAGGACATTTGGCTTTGCAAAATATCATGAGAGGAGTATGGATTTTCAACATCTTTTTCTTTCAAAGGAGTCATCCCGGGGTTCTTCCTCTGCATGATGGGAAGGTGGGGAGAACTGGGTTTGTCAAATGGCCATCCAGAGGCTCAGTGACTTGGCCTAGGGCCCCTCATTCCCAGCTGTACTGCTCTTCACTGGGCCCTGTGCCTGTCAGTGGAGCAAAGCCAAAGACACTCTCCAACCTGACCCTAGAAATCTGTATAAACCCCTTTCTGCAGCTTTTCCCCAGAGCTGCTAATATACAGCTGCACAAGAAACTAGATCTTCTCTAGAGCAGTGTGGGCTGCTATGGAAGGAGACACATCAGGCAGATGGCTCTCTGGCTGGCTGTGTGCATAGGAGACTTCTTGCTGGATTCACCAGTCTGGTTCTCATTCTCCTTCATCTCCTTGTGCCAGGCTTCTGCTCCTTTCCAGAGGAGCTTGGCTTTGACCAACCCTCTCCCTATCTTGGAAAGGATCCATTCTCAGTGTTCCTATTTTCCTGTCTCTCACAGGCCATCCCTGATACCTCCTATACCCAGACCCTGCTAGGTATGAATGCAGCTCAGTCCTGGCTGATGCTTTACGCACGAGACCTGCTGCTTCTGGTGATAGATGGCTCCAAAGACTAGTACACAGGAAGGAAACCGTAGGGAGAAATGTCAACTATGTGGTGAACATGTACAGAGCCCTGAAGCTAGGGCCATGAAGTGGAGGATCTTGGCTTCTATTCAGCACTCCTACAAAATGAAACCTGTCCTTTAAGGAGAATTCTGTGCCTCCCTTTATGGGAAGTTGAGGATTTGGCCTTTCACTTAATTAATATGCCCTTTTGTGCCAAGGACCTTTGTAGGTGCCACTTAATACCCTGATGTAGCTCTGGGCTCTGTCTGTGCTCTGCCACCAGAATAAGGGGCTCAGTTGAAGAGATATTTGAGCCCCAAGAGTGGGTCCAAAGCTGAAGGAGCTCACAGTAGACTCCTCATCTATGGAAACAGTTCCTGTTGGAGGCCATCTCAATCTGGGATTTGGTCATACTAATGCCCCAGTAATAGTACAGTTCTATGTGTTGTCTCAAGGCCCCACTTCGTATCTGGTGCTCATCTGTGCTGTCTCTTCCAGGGACTGCATGAAAGGAGAGGAAACAGAGAATAAGAAGATTGGCTGTACTGTTAACCTGATGGTGAGAGGACATGGGCCCTGACCTCTCTGCCTACTGAAATGGTTTCTGTCCTGCGCTGTGATTGGCTTGGCCCTTCTACAATACATGGCTATAGGCCTGAGGGTTTTAATCAGGACATCAGCCCAGTTACTGGTATCTTAGAGGCCTGCACTTCCCCAGACACATTCCTACTTGGGGAAGGAATGAAACGAGCTTCTCTTTGTACCGAACTCTAGCCTGGCCTCTTGGCAGGGACCCACTAACTCTGACATGCCCCAATTCACAGTCAACCCTGACTCCTGATCTGCCCTGATGCTTTTCCTCTTTCACACTACCCAGGGCTCCCATAGACCTGCCAGTGGTTCCACCCACAGCAGGTGTTCCTTCTGGCTGGTGCTTTCTCCTTCTGGTGCTGTCTGCCTCCAGGAGCCTGCCCTCCCTCTCCTGCCCAGCACACCCACAGCTTTGGCCAGCTGCCCAGAGCTTGGCTATGGCCTCCACAGGTAGTTGACAGGTGTTTCCTTCTCTTTATTATAGAATTTTTACAAATCTGAGATTAACAAGGAAGAAATGTATATCCGCTACATCCATAAGCTTTGTGACATGCACTTGCAGGCCGAAAACTACACAGGTAAGTGGGGAAAAGAGAGAACCATGCCTGACCATGAGGACAAACTGAAGGGATTTGTACAATAGGCAGAGAAAGGCTTCAGGGTGGTGCCTGCCAGATCTCAGCAGAATGTTGGGACTTGTGCTATCCCCTCACCTCACTCATTTCCCTCAACTCCTTTGTGGCACATGGTAGAGAGAAAGCAGGCAGAACTTCCACTTGTGCCTTTGTGCCATGTCCTCCACTACTTGAGGCTGTTTCACTCTCCTTCCCTCCTGTCCACCCCTCTGAAGTCTCAAGGGTGACCTCCAAATTCTGGTGCACCAGGTTCAGAGCATCCTGAGCTAACTGTCACTCCTTATGAACAGAGAGCCTTTTTGAGGACTTTCAAAGCTGGAGCTAAGGTTATAACAAAGGAATATCCCCCTAACCCTGGAACTTCCAGAACTCACTAGCAGACCTTCCTTGCAGGCTAGGTTCTTTAGACCCTGCAACTGCATAGCAGGCTCACATTGCGCTCCCAGTGCAGAGTATGAAGAGTGTTCATCTGACTTCTTGACAGGCCAGACAGGGCCTGTCATAGTATCTACAATTTAATCCAACATCAAGGCCTTTTCTAACTAGAACAAATTTTAAAGCATTTCAGAGTGGCTGTCACAACTGTTTACTGAGAACCACGCTGAATCAGGGGTTGTGCGCATGTGTGTGTGTCCTGTCTGATTGACATGCCATCGTTCCCCCCAAAGAACCATTTTCTCCACTGTGGTGACCAGCCATTATGTCTTAGCTCTTAGGTGATAGGACTTGAATTTGTGTGATAGACCAGGAAATTTAAGCTATCCTTCTCTGCAAACACTATTGCAATTAGATAGATTTGTAGAAACAGAGAATCCTCCTTCTTTATCTCTAACTGTTAGAGAGTGTTTGGCATAGATGATATATTATCTGATAGCACAGCTTGGCAATAATTAAATCTAAAATGACTGGGCTTTGAATCTTAAATTCAGCTGACTAATAAAATGACTGGGCTGAGTCTACCATTCTCTGCATCCACTTGCACCCATGATCCAGCAACCCTCTGAGAGGGCAGTGAAGAGAAAGACTTTAATAAATGTTGTGTATCAGCAGAAGCATTTGCTAAACTTCTGGGGAACTGGGCCATGACTGAGAGGCTGGGTCAGGGACTTTAACAGAGAAAGAGTGCTAAGCCTTGTCTCTGATGGCTCAGGGAATGACATCTGAAAATAATGTAGGCAAGGAAGAAAAAGACGTTCCATGATTTCCTAAGCTCCAGAGGGAGGCCGTGAGTTCCACAAGGCTTGTCGCTAGAGAAAAAAGGCTTCCTGATCCCATGAGGAGGCGTGTACATTCCTTGACAGGAAGTTCCAGTGGCAAGGGCACAGGCAAAGAGGCAAGGATGAGGAGGAGCCTAAAGAGTGGACACAGGCAAGTGGGCCTAGCTAAAGCTGGAAGTGGGTCAATAAATGGTTAGAAATGAGATTCTTCATAGTCATGGAGAGTAGATTTGAGTAGAACCTTGAAAACCAGGCAGAAGCACAGAAGCTAGAACTAATTAACTTGCCAGTAGGAGATGCCCACTAAAAATGAACAAATAGAACAGAAGAGAGAAAACTGTGTAATGAGGCCCCTGAGCCGTGGCTGTGATTCAGTGTGACTCATCCCTCGGAATGTAGGGAGCCGTGGTATTTCACTGCTGTTGTTTTACATAACCCTCTCTAATTGTTCCACACATAGAGTAAGATGTTGCCAGGCCTTCACTCTGGGTCTAGTATCAATTTAGGTTCCTTTGGTAATGGAGCCCTAAGAGCCAGTTCTGAGAAGGTTGGAAAGGAAGCTGTAGTCAGTTGAGCAGAAAGGAACCCAAGAGCTCTCTCTGATGTGTCAACGTCTCCCACAGCAAAGCCACCTGTACACAGACTTTTGGGTAGCTGAGTCATTCTTTATTAATCTGGAGGCCGGAACAGGTGACCAGGCCATGGAAGGAAGGTGTCTACCAGGATATTTGGCTCCTTCATGCTATGGACGAGGGTTATTGGCTTGCTGAGCAGGCCCACTGTTCTGTCTTTGGTATCCAGTGTCCCTGACCTGGGCTGCACATGACTTGCGCTGGCATTCTGCCCAGCATAGTCCTCTGACTCTAGGCTGCTCCTGGGCCCCTGAGCAAGGGAAGCCCCTGGACCTCCGTGCTGTCTGTCCCCACAGAGGCCGCATTTACCCTGCTCCTTTACTGTGAGCTGCTGCAGTGGGAGGACCGGCCACTGCGGGAATTCCTCCACTACCCATCGCAGACAGAGTGGCAGCGGAAGGAGGGACTGTGCCGGAAGATCATTCACTACTTCAACAAAGGCAAGGTACGCGTCATTAGGCAAGCCCTTTAGCCTTTCAGCTTCTGCTGTGATGCATGGCATCTTGACATCATAGGGTTAGCAGCTACAGGGGGTGGTGTGTGGGGTGGTGAGTGGGTGGGTGCCTATCTATGTGCCTGAGATATGGAGACCACATGATTTTCTCTGAGGGAGAAAAAGACAACAGCTTAATTCTGTGACTTGAAAGCCATATCCAGATTGTAGGTGTTAGAGACTACCCCACATACCAGCTTTGCCTATCTATAAATATGAATGCTTCTACAGCAGGGGCTTCTGGAACCCTGTTTGTTTTTATTGGATTTACTTAAAGAACTAATATGGCTTTCTAATCTGCTGCCCTATAAAATATGAGTGGTAGAAATGAATGGATTTTAATCACAGCCAAAGGAGGCCTAAACTGCTTCTTACTGGTATGTGTTCTTTTTTTAGATTTCCCTTCCCTACAGCACAGCCAGGGCTCCTCTCGTATTGGGGTTACTTTCCATCAAACTAGTTTCTATGGGATTGGCAGCATTGTCAGCACTGGTTTAGGCTTCCTTGGGGCTCCAGCCATTCTGCTCCCATCACTGGGAGAGCTCTATGTGGGGCCCTCTGACTACCTACTGTTGAATGTGGCCCATGTGCTGGAAAAACTTGTTGAAGCCATTTTCTCATTACTAAGCTTTGAGCACGTTTTCAAGCTGAAATAGGGTCATTCAGGGAACTGTAGTAACTGAGCCCCTGACTCAAATAGAAATTGGTTTTTGAGATGAGTTTTTTCATCAAAAAGAAAGATGTAAACATTAATGGCTTTTGCCTATAAATCAGAAAACATTCTTCAGTTTTACATAACATGGGGGACTTCTGTGTTTGTCAAAAATATTCACTCAGAAAACATTTCCCCATGCAGAGAATGCACTGGTAAGCAGGAACCTTTCCAAAAGCACAGAAACTCTTATGTAACCTAGCCCAGAAAGGATGCCCATGCTCAGCTCTCAGCCAGCCTGTGCGACTGATCCACAAAGCTGACCCAAAACCTCTGGTCCTTGCTGATCCAGGACCTGACACAGAGCCCCTCACTTGCAGTTTTAGGCTGGTTTTCTGGCTCCTGGCTAACCTGGAGCTGCCCCTCACCTACATGCCCAGCAAGCCCTCCTAGCTCACAGGGAATGACATAAGCATGGTGTGAGTATGCATGTGTGCTTCTAGTGCATTCATTCTCATTTCTTTCCATGGGCACAAAGTACAGAGTAGAGAGTTATTCTAATCTCACTGAGTCTGCCTGTGGGATGCATGAGCATTGATGGTCCCCTCTTCATCCCACATTATGGTAATGCATAGAAAAGCAGGATTAAACTTTAACATGGACTAGGGAGTAAAACACAAAGTGTGCCTGAGTACTATAGATGGACAAGAAGGAGAGAAGGACTAGGAGACTCCATAGGCCACCTTCTCAGGAATCTCCTCACTTCTGCAATCCTGCCTTTGCCCTGAATTGCTGGAGAAGCAGAGTCTATGCTGAGTAGAGACCACTCAGTGAGCCCTCTCATGAGTTTATCCTCAAAGGAGCAGTCATCAGGCCCACTGTCCTAGGCTCACACAGGAGGCCTACCTTGTCTGTTCCTGTGCCTCAGCTCATGATGAAACCATCAGGTGAGATTAACCAGTTCTTCTTGAAAATATTCAGGGTTTTCAAGAAGAAAACCATGGTTCTAGAAAAGCAAAACCTAGATGCTATGGGAAAAAGATGTTCTTATGGCAGGGATGCTTGGCACCAAGAGAAAAGCCACCTTGGCAACAAGAGAAGGGCAAAGAAAGAAAGGAGGAACAGGTAGTGAGTTTCTACCTCTCAACACTGCCAGCACACCCTGCCTCACAAGGCACGCCCCTCCTGGCTTTTCTTCCACACATTACCCTCAAGACCTGCCCCATAGGGACTGCTCATTTAGGTGATGATGGCCCCATGTAGGGCTAAAGATGCCCTGCCTGCTGACAGTAGCTTCCAGTGAAACAAATGTCCTCCACTGGGATCAAGGCTCATCTGTCTTGCTGGCATCTCTTCCCTAGTTTGTAACCCTGCTGCTCCAAGGCACTCGCTCCAAGGCCTCTACTCCAGTTATCTTTAGAATGAACGAGGACAAAGAGTAGTAGAAGAGAAGTGACTGGATTTCAGAGACTGGTAAGACATTTTAGAGTAGCTTTGCTTTCTGCCTGAAGGAGGGAAACCAAGGGGAAAGATGTAGATGGGGATGCATTGCACCTGTAGTACATTCGCTACCTCTGTGCAGAGGCAGCTCTTAAAGCCCCCAGACCCACCATTGTTCCTGTACACCCCTCAAAGCTGGCACATGCTCTCTGGTGTCTGCGTTAGACAACACAATCTCCCTTGGTCCCATGTTTATGTCCTGGGTACCCAAGAGGATTAGCCGTGGCTAATAACATGGCCATAGTCTAGTTCTGGGCCATTCTGTCCTGTAGTGAGGTAGTTGACTTATAAACCTGCTACAAGTTGGACTGGGCTCTGGTCCACAGAGAGTCAGCTCTCCCAGGCCAGACAAGGAGAGAAGGAAACTCCAAAGAGACAGGATGTGGCAGGGTGAGAGTTGAGAGAAGAAAGGGGTGATGTGAAGGTCAGAACTGGTCCTTATCTCTAGGTGGAGGAAGCAGGCAGGAGGAGAAGCTGGACAGAGGCTAGCAGAGCATCAGGGCTACACCAACCACTTCTGTGGGAGTGGGCTTGAGCTCTCCTGCTTGAGGGTTTACCATGGTCCACACTCTTTTGAAGGAATGACTGTTACTTCTAATATGTAATGTGCAAACAGACTGGTGGCCCATGCTTTTCCCTTCCTTTGCCATTTGATTAGAATGAGCCCTAAGTCAGTACAACTTTTTGTGCTGTCCCTGCAAGGGAGCAACAAGGATCTATAAAAGCACATATTAGGCCAGGCAAGGTGGCTCACAATTGTAATCCCAACACTTTGGGAGGCCAAGGTGGGCGAATCACTTGAGGTCAGGAGTTCAAGACCAGCCTGGCCAACATGGTAAAAGCTCGTCTCTACTACAAATACAAAAATTAGCCAGGTGTGGTGGCGCACGCCTGTAGTCCCAGCTATTCGAGTGGCTGAGTCACGAGAATCACTTAAACGTGGAAGGTGGAGGTTGCAGTGAGCTGAGATTGCACCACTGTACTCCAGCCTGAGTGACAGAGCAAGACTCTGTCTCAAAACAAAACAAAACAAAACAAAACAAAAGCACAAATCTGCAGGAGCTGGTAGAGGTGACTGGATTTTAGACACTGGTAGGGAGTTTTAGAGTCAGCTTTGCCTCCTGCCTGAAGGAGGGAAACCAAGGCGAAAGATGTGGGTGGGAATGCATTGCACCTGTAGTATATTTACTAACTCTGTGCAGAGGCAGCTCTCAAAGCCCCCAAGCCCACCAGTGTTCCAGCATACCCCTCAAGGTTTGCAGGGTGTCTTAAAATTCTTGGTCCTGGTTCATTCTAAAGATAAGTATGGTGGGGAGGGATGCCTTGGAGCATCAGGGTTACAAGCTAGGGCAGAGATGCCAGCAAGATAGATGAGCATTGATCCCAGTGGAGGAGAAGACCTGTTTTTATTGGAAGCTACTGTTAGCAGACAGGGCATCTTTAGCCCCACATATAGCCATTGTCATCTAAATGAGCAGTCTCCCATGGAGTGGCTCTTGAAAGGCTGGCCAGAAGTCTCTACACAACTCAGCTATAAACTTAGCTAGCCCCCATGAAGCTGCCAGCCAGATAGACCCTGTTCTGGGTCCATTGCTGAAACCTGCCCAAGCAGCACTTGCAGAGGACTGATATACGCCCTCTTGAAAGCTGTGATAATGGGGGTACAAGAGGCTTTCTAGCTCACTGAGGCACAGGCATTATATTAAAGCAAGGAGTCAGGGTCTATTTAAAATTCCGTTTGGCTGGGCATGGTAGCTCATGCCTGTAATGTCAACACTTTGAGAGGCCAAGGTGGTAGGATGGCTTGAGACTACAAGTTTGAGACCAGCCAAGGTAACATAGCGAGACCCCATCTCTATAAAATATTTTAAAAACTAGCCAGGCATGGTGGCACACACCTAGCCCCACCTGTAGTCCTAGCTACTCAGGAGGTTGAGGCAAGAGAATCTCTTGAGCCCAAGCATTAAAGGTTGCATGCCAGTGCATTGTAGCCTGGGTGACAGAGCAAGACCTTGTTTCTAAAAAAAAAAAAAAAAAAACCGCACACAACAACAACAACAACAAACACCTCTTTGGTTTGTTTAATCTTTTTAATCGGTCCTGCAGTTTCAATCCATGTGGTGTTAATTTCTTTGAAGGATAGAAAAATATATTCTTTTGAGAAACACAATTGCAAATGAAACAATATTTTCCTTCTCCCTGATGCTATTTCAAAGAGTATTCTTACAAATATAGTCCTTATGTTTAATGATTTATGCTGAAATATTTACTGGTGAAATTATATCTGAGATTTGCTTCAAATGCTATGGGGAGGAATAAGTGAATGGGGTATGAATAATACAAGATTGGCTGTGAGTTGGTCATTGTTGAAGCTGGATGATGGATAGGGGTTTATTCTTCTAGTCTCTCTACTTTTCCATATGCTTAAATTTCCTATAATAAAAAATTTTTATTAGTATTGAGAAGTTGAGGAGTCTGGGTAAAATATCAAGTAAACTAATGACCCTCAATCTAACCAAAAGAGGTATATATATATATTTATTATTATTATTATTATTATACTTTTAAGTTCTAGGGTACATGTGCACAACGTGCAGGTGTGTTACATATGTATACATGTGCCATGTTGGTGTGCTGCACCCATTAACTCATCATTTACATTAGGTATTTCTCCTAATGCTATCCCTCCCCCCTCCCCCCACCCCACAACAGGCCCCAGTGCGTGATGTTCACCACCGTGTGTCCAAGTGTTCTCATTGTTCAGTTCCCACCTGAGTGAGAACATGCGGTGTTTGGTTTTCTGTCCTTGTGATAGTTTGCTCAGAATGATGGTTTCCAGCTTCATGTCCCTACAAAGGACATGAACTCATCCTTTTTATGGCTGCATAGTATTCCATAGTGTATATGTGCCACATTTTCTTAATCCAGTCTATCATTGATGGACATTTGGGTTGATTCCAAGTCTTTGCTATTGTGAATAGTGCCGCAATAAACATATGTGTGCATGTGTCTTTATAGCAGCATGATTTATAATCCTTTGGGTATATACTCAGGAATGGGATGGCTGGGTCAAATGGTATTTCTAGTTCTAGATCCTTGAGGAATCGCCACACTGTCTTCCACAATGGTTGAACTAGTTTACAGTCCCACCAGCAGTGTAAAAGTGTTCCTATTTCTCCACATCCTCTCCAGCACCTGTTATGTCCTGACTTTTTAATGATCACCATTCTAACTGGTGTGAGATGGTATCTCATTGTGGTTTTGATTTGCATTTCTCTGATGGCCAGTGATGATGAGCATTTTTTCATATGTCTGTTGGCTGCATAAATGTCTTCTTTTGAGAAGTGTCTGTTCTTATACTTTGCCCACTTTTTGATGGGGTTGTTTGATTTTTTTCTTGTAAATTTGTTTAAGTTCTTTGTAGATTCTGGATACTAGCCCTTTGTCAGATGGGTAGATTGTAACAGTTTTCTCCCATTCTGTAGGTTGCCTGTTCACTCTGATGATAGTTTCTTTTGCTGTGCAGAAGCTCTTTAGTTGAATTAGATCCTATTTGTTAATTTTGGCTTTTGTTGCCATTGCTTTTGGTGTTCTAGTCATGAAGTCCTTGCCCATGACTATGTCCTGGGTGGTACTGCCTAAGTTTTCTTCTAGGGTTTTTATGGTTTTAGGTCTAACATTTAAGTCTTTAATCCATCTTGAATTAATTTTTGTATAAGGTATAAGGAAGGGATCCCGTTTCAGCTTTCCACATATGGCTAGCCAGTTTTCCCAGCACCATTTATTATATAGGAAAGCCTTTCCCCATTTCTTGTTTTTGTCAGGTTTGTCAAAGATCAGATGGTTGTAGATGAGTGGCATTATTTCTGAGGGCTCTGTTCTGTTCCATTGGTCCATATCTGTTTTGGTGCCAGTACCGTGCTGTTTTGGTTACTGTAGCCTTGTAGTATAGTTTGAAGTCAGGTAGTGTGATGCCTCCAGCTTTGTTCCTTTTGCTTAGGATTTTCTTGACAAGGTGGGCTCTTTTTTGGTTCCATATGATCTTTAAAGCAGTTTTTTTCCAATTCTGTGAAGAAAGTTACTGGTAGCTTGATGGGGATGGCATTGAATCTATAAATTACCTTGGGCAATATGGCCATTTTCACGATATTGATTCTTCCTATCCATGAGCATGGAATGTTCTTCCATTTGTTTATGTCCTCTTTTATTTCATTGAGCAGTGATTTGTAGTTCTCCTTGAAGAGGTCCTTCACATCCCTTGTAAGCTGGATTCCTGGGTATTTTATTCTCTTTGAAACAATTGTGAATGAGAGTTCACTCATGATTTGGCTGTTTGTCTGTTATTGGTGTACAAGAATGCTTGTGATTTTTGCACATTGATTTTGTATCCTGAGACTGCTGAAGTTGCTTATCAACTTAAGGAGATTTTGGACTGAGACGATGGGGTTTTCTAAATATACAATCATGTCATCTGCAAACAGGGACAATTTGACTTCCAAAAGAGGTATATATTTTTTAAAGGAGGAAATGGATAATATCACCTCTTAATGAAGGCCACTGCAGCCTTCCCTCAGGCTGTTGCATGGGCATGTTACTATAACAGGAGCCATACCACAGAAAGCCTGGAATCTAACTAGGCAAGGATCATCTGAAGCCTAATTTAAGGTCAAATAGTTCCATAAAGGAAATTGTCCGACCTACTGCCAAGTCCTTGAGTACTCAGGCATTTTCTTCTTGATTTCCATACTTGTTTTGGAGCTTAAACAATCTTAATCTAAAAATCAGTGTTTCATTAACTTATCAAATAAATCTTTACTGAGTACCTGATACATCCCTGGCATTGTTCTAGTCTCTGAGAATAAAACAAACAGGGTCCCTGCCCTCTTTGTGTTTATCATCTGATTGAGACTAATACAACAAAAAAGTAAGTAATTTTTTAAAATTAAGATAACTTCATAGTAACAGAACAGAAATGGACAAGGAAGTGCCTCTTCTTGACAAAGTAGTCAGGGAAGGCCTCTTGGAGGTGGAGACATTTGAGCAGAGACCTAAAAGCTATGCTTGAGCTAGAAAGCCACACGGCTGTGTCATGACCCCCAAATTGGTTTTGAGGCATATGTTCTTTGTGACACGAGTTGGAGCTGGCGGGAGACCTTTTGTGTGTCTTCTGATGTATTTAATGTGGGCTTCGGCCATTCTGAGGATGAGATGCTGAAGCCCTGTTTCTATTTCTGACACAGAGCTGGGAGTTTGGGATCCCACTGTGCAGGGAGCTGGCGTGTCAGTACGAGAGCCTCTATGATTACCAGAGCCTCAGCTGGATTCGGGTGAGCTGTGCCCCTCCCCCCACCCCAGCCCTGACTGGCATCAGTTTCTAAAGGAGCATTCTCTGTGGGCCTAGCCCTTGGTTTAGTGCTGTGGACAATACAAGAGAAACAAAAGCCAAGACTCCTGCCCTCAGGACACTTGCAGTCTGACTAGGAAACCAAAAATAACACCTGAAAAATAATTGTATGATCTGGACCCCAAGAGCCATGGTGCTCAGAGAAGGGAGAAGTAGCATAGGCAGGATAGGATGGTGGTTTCAAGAAAGAGAAGGAGGTGGCAGCTCAGCTTCACAGAGAAGCTTTTCCTGGAATGGTTTTGTTTATGGATGCTTCATCCAAAATCTTTATAAGAGCTTTCCCCACTTTGCTTATGGTCAATTTTAAACATGTTGTACTTGCTGCCTTCTTTGATGCAGAATATTAAAAAATTAAATTAAATGCCCGATGGGCTTTGAAGGTCTGCACCAAATTTTTTCTGGTTGCTGGTGCTGGGTTCTCAATCATAATGGCTGCTGATTTCATCAGCGAAAAAGAGGCTAGCAGTCTCAACTCACCCTTTCTGCACCCTCATCCTTGTGGCTAACTCTCCTGTTCTCTGATCCAGATTGGTGTTTGGGCATGTTCCTCTAGCAGTGGCTTCTTAACCCGTTCTGGCAGGCTGGCTTGATTTAATGCATTAGAGCTATCTTCCCAATCGAAGTTTCAGTGAGTTTTGTGTGAGTGTGAAGCCAGGTCAGCCACAACTAAAAAAGTTACAGACCTTGGAATGCTAGACATCATGGATATTAGTTAGCTTTTCAAATTTAAACTATCTTAACTTGGAATGAGTACCAGTGCTGTTAGCATCTGAGCCTTCCTCACTACAGTTGTTAGCATCTTTAGTCAGATAATAGATGAACAAGAGTTGGACTGATACAAAATGGTGGTGAGAATTGCTGATAGCCAGCTACAAGCAACCTAGTCAGGGGTCAACTGGTATAGTGAGTATTGGTCAAAACCAGAAATCCCTGGGCAGAAAAAGTCCATGTTAAAAGTGTGCCTCCCAAGTACAGGAATCTATAGGGCTGAGTCCACTCCCTAGGAAGGACATTCACAGCAGCTACACAGGGCTGCAGTGGGCAGGCCTGTCCCCATCCCACCATCAGACAGTGGTGATGGAGGGCCTTCTCTTCCATAATGCAACTCCCTAGAGAGAGGCTGGTCATGTCTAGAGGCTCACTTACTTCTTATCTAGATTGAGTTGCCATGATCCCTTTCCGGAAGACAGTGTCCAGTTGGGCCTAGGAGAACTTGCTTTGGATACCAACAGCAGTCAAGCCAACCCGAAGACCTTTCTCATTCACAGAAAATGGAGGCCAGCTACTATGACAACATTATGGAGCAGCAACGCCTGGAGCCTGAGTTCTTTCGGGTCGGCTTCTATGGCAGGAAGTTTCCTTTCTTTCTTCGGGTGAGTCCATTCAGATGGTCACAAGAACTTATATAATTTTACACATAATTCACTTAAAACCTGTATTCTTGTCTTCCCCTTTTTGCCTTTTCTGCTGAATACTTTTTTACAGAGGATAGACCAGTTAACAACAGGCATTTGGTTTTATTTGACTGGACTGGCTGCCAACTTCAGACTCTGTTTTAGTCTGCTCTGTTGTTCTGTAGCTACCAGGAATGTGTGAGGGTGGCTTTCTTACCAAATCAATGGAGTTTCTTCAGGAAGTGACCAGGGTCTAAGTATGTCCCATAGGTACCTTCCAACTTCTGCCTCCAGTGCCTGGAACCTCCATTGTGAGTCTTCTCAGCCATACAGGGCGCCAGTAAAGCCCTGACCTTAACAGTAGACTGACCTCTTAGGGTTTGTCATCTGAAATGATGGTTTTTCCTCCTGGCTGCACTGTAGCCAGCATGTGGTTCCTGGGATCCTGAGGGAGCTGCCAAGCACTGCGTTTGGCTGTAGAAAGCCTCTTATAGGCAGCCAGTTCTCTGACCCAGGATGACAACAGCCTTTTCTCCCTACCATTCCCTGGCAGGTTGAACCAGAATATAAAAAGAGTGGAAAGGATGACTGAGTATAGATCTACTGACACCAGTTGTGATTTTCTTATTTATTCAGCACAACTCAGAGGCTCCAGGAGTAGTCAGTCAACATACACTGCAGGCTGAGTCCCATAGAGATGTGTTCTCAGATGATCTAAATGAAGCTGCCCTGATGTGTGGGCCCTGGAGCAGTTGAGACCTAATCTCTGATCACCCCCAGTTCCGATATCTTTAAAGTTCACTGTCCACAAGTCTCAGAAAGTAGCTGGGAAAATTCCCTTTGATATGTTTGGGATCCTGTATTCTTGGAGAAATTGGGTTAGCCAATGAGCAATAACAAACTTGTTATCACATCAAAGGTCAACCGGGCTTAATAGCTCCTTAAAAAAAGCTAGTCTGCTAGCGGCAGAGTCCAGGCTAACCACATTGCAGAAGTAAGGCAGGTCAACTTGCACTTTTCTTGGGCAGTAGTCATTCTAGGCTAGAAGAAAAAATGATCTGTGTGGGCACTGGTAATATGACAGGAACAGCAAGCTCACTGCCTAATTTACCTAGTTGTGATCCCCGGGAAGGCTATAACTGTTCCACAGGAGTGTGTTTCTAGTAGCAGAATGGGAATGAGTAGAGAGAATTTTTTTTTTTTTTTTTTTTTTTTTTTTTTTGAGACAGAGTTTCGCTCTTGTTGCCCGGATTGGAGTACAATGGCATGATCTCAGCTCACCACAACCTCCGCCTCCCAGGTTCAAGCGATTCTCCTGCTTCAGCCTTCCCAAGTAGCTGGGATTACAGGCATGCACCACCATGCCCAGCTAATTTTGTATTTTAATAGAGACGGGGTTTCTCCATGTTGGTCAGGCTGGTCTTGAACTCCCAACCTCAAGTGATCCGCCTGCCTCGGCCTCCCAAAGTGCTGGAATTATAAGCGTGAGCCACCGCACCTGGCCGGAAATGAGAAGAGAGACTTTCTTAAGAGGACTAGGCCTCCTTCATCTCTAGTGACCATCCAGCCCAGGCATTTCAGAAGTGGCATATTTACTAGCCCCATCAACATAGATCATATAAGAACAATGGAAGTGGTGGAGGTCAGCAAAAGAAGTAGAAGCAGCTGTACAAGAATTAGAAACCAAAAGTGTTTCCAGAAAGTCCTTTGACAAACTAATGATTCTGGTCTTGTAACTTGCCTTTTTCTCATTTTATCTTTGCAAATTATGCTTTCTTGTCATTTTCTTCTTCTTGTGTAGATCCACAATTTGTACATCAAAATTGAGATTTCACTGTAAAACATCATTATTTTGGATATTACAGAATCAGGCCCTGGTGTCCCCTGTTTCTATTCTGCCAAGCAGGAATGCTCCATCATGGTCCAACCTGTTTCCCACCCTTTCATGCGCCATGTCACAGGGCACATTAGTGTCTCAGGGTGCTTGGAGCTTTCTGACAGGTAGGACCTGGCATAAAACCTGCATCTAAGCCATCCAAACCATGCTCACAAGTAACAGTACAAATGTTCAAATGTGGTTTCAAAGACCCTGGTAATGGAGGAAGAATAACAAGGGGTGTTAGGAAATATCACCCATCAATACATTCCCATCTCCACACAAGATGCAATCTCAAGGGGAGGTATAATACATGTATAATTCATGCATACAAATTTCCTCGGCCAACCCACATGCTACCTTCCCTTATTTCAGCTGCTCAGTTCATCTGTGGCAAACATAATAAGTCCCAGTGGAGGTAGCTCTTTGCCTTGCAGATGGTAAGAACCAGGTACAAAGGAGTGGCGGCCAGATCTGTCTTTTGTGGGAATGCTGGGGCTCTTGCCCAGGCGAACATGAAACCAACAGTCAGCCTCAAGGTCAACACTGTGCATTCTTCCTGCTGGGCCTTCCCCAGAAGGCTAGGCTACTCTCCTACCATCCCTGAATGCACAGGCCATCTATTACTTTAGCTCTGTCAGCTTGGTTTCTCTGGACCATCTGCCTGCTTCCCCTCACAAATGTGATTATTTACTAATCTGCAAAGAGTCAGGAAAACATCCAACCCTCCCTTCTTGAGGGAATTTTTATTTCTCATCATTTGACCCATGAACAGACATTGTTGAGGGTTGTACATATGAATGATATGAAAAGGCCAGTTCTTCACAAGTACTTTCTTTGTCAGTTTTGTTTATCAAGCCAAAGATGTAGAAATGCCTCTGTCCTTTGACTACTGGTCTATTCCACTGGAGAGGCCAGCCTGTTCCTCCTGACCTTAACTTCCCTTCTAGTGTGCCCTTCCATTCTGATTCATCCAGACACATGGCCCAGGCCAGACGCAGTGGCTCATGCCTATAATCCTAGCACTGTGGAAGGCTGAGGCAAGTGGATCACCTGAGGTCAGGAGCTCAAGACCAGCCTGGCGAACATGGCGAAACCCCATCTCTACTAAAAATACAACAATTAGCCAGGCATGGTACAAGATGCCTGTAATCCCAGTTACTTCAGAGGCTGAGGTGGGAGAATGACTTGAGCCCGGGAGGTGGAGATTGCAGTGAGCCCAGATTGCAACACTGCACTCCAACCTGGGCAAGAGAGTGAGACTCTATCTCAAAAAAACAAAAGACAATACAGATACATGGCCCAGCCTTAGCCAAGTTCTCCCATAGTGAGAGAGGAAGTAAAAGGGAGACAGAAATCCTATTTCAAGAAGGTCAGGGTGTTCCAAGGCCTGCCCTGTGATTAACCCTCTCCCGGGAAGCATATGGCTGGCCCTGTGATGGCTCTCTCTCTCTTTCTTCCTTTGAAGACATGCCAAGAGGGGCTGTCAGTGCCTGATACCATTTTGTTGAAATGGGTCTGGTTAGGCAGTTGGTTGGGCAGACTGTGTCACCGGTGGGTTTCAGGGGAACTTGCTGCAGCCACCCACTCATGACCAGCTATGATATAGGCAAAGCAAGTAGAGTTGGGGGTGCCTTGTCCACGAAGAGAAAAACTGAGACATAACCCAAACTAAATGTGACATAACGTAAAATTTTAAGAAATCTGTACTTAGAATGATGTCTATTTGTTCTGCTGACATGTTTGCAAAGGAGTTTGCTGCCAAAGGGTTATTAATGCAATAAACAGCTACTGAATGCCTCCTGGGCACTGGGCAACATTAGACTGTTTGTCTCAACTAATAAAAGTGATCCTTCAGAATCACACACTTGATCACTGCCCCCCGCCATTTAAATTTATTTGATGGCACCCATAGCAATCACCCCTTGGTAACACTGGAGTCAGGGTCAGGGTCTTCCAAGGCCTGCCCAGTGATTAACCCTGTCCCAGGAAGCATATGGCTGGTTCTGTGATGCCTCTTTCTCTCTTTCTTCCTTTGAAGACATGCCAAGAGGGGCTGGCAGTGCCCCTCTGCCCAACTGCTTTTACCAGTTCTCTACACAGACACCTTCTTTCCAGCTCCGCCTTTTCCTGTCTTGATAGTTGTTGCCCTGGTTGTCACAGTATCCACATAGATTGCCCTTCTCCACTCATACCATACCATACCAGCCTGACCTAGGTGGACCTTTCAGGACATTTTTTAAACATAATTTTTTTAAAATCACATCTCCCACCTTGCTCTCTTTCCTGTGTAAGGTTTTTCTCCTTCTTCCAAGCTTCTTGCAGCCTGTACCCTGCCCTCGGGGCTGCCACACCACAGTGTAATTCTCGCTTTGTTTTTCTTCTCCCTCCTTGATTGTCTGGAGACTGAGGGCAATGCCCTGCGCCTGTCCCAGGGCCTGATACAGAGAAGACTCCTAAGATATGTTCGTGATGTATGTAGCTACTGACTCCAGTGTGGAGGTTGGGGGCTACAAATAAGGTATACATAGAGTGTGCTCTTATGTTTGTGGCAGAACAAAGAATACGTATGCCGTGGCCATGACTACGAGAGGCTGGAGGCCTTCCAGCAGAGGATGCTCAGTGAGTTCCCGCAGGCTGTCGCCATGCAGCACCCCAACCATCCTGATGACGCCATCCTACAGTGCGATGCCCAGTGTATCTTTTGATACTGGGTGGGAGGACGGCAGGGGCCCTGGGAGGTGAGGTCCACCCAGTCAGCTGCCCTCTACCACATTGCCAACCATATAGGTTAGATATCCCATAGCCCTAAACCTGAGTGTGTCCTCATTGCTTAGCACACACTTAGAAACTCACTAATGCCTCAAAGAGGAAGCACTGGCGTGCCCTTAGCAGTGGGTGGTCTAGTCATCAGTGGGACTTCAGGAAGGTCTTTATCCCTCAGACTGGCTGCTTCCAACAGCTTAATCCTCACCCTGCCCTGTGAGGAGTCTGCCCAGGCAGCCAGGAGCAATCACTGTACAGGGTGACTTGGGGTCCTATCAGGGCTCTTGTCACAGGAATACCACCTGTGCTGTGACCTGCGCCACTCCCATGTGTTCTATTATTGTCTCTTGTCTTCATCAGGCAGACTGGGGCAGGGCCCAAGGATGTGCGAAGCAGGAGAGGATGGGGGAGTTCCTTTGGTTTGGTGGCACTTGGAAGTCTGAATGGAAACACTGCCCTCCCCCTCACCTTTCACACACAGCTTCCTTGGGGACCACATGACAGATGCCATGACTATGGCAAGCTTGTTTCAGAGAAGGGAGGGCAAGTGGACTCTTACCTGCTTTTTTTCCACAAAGATTTCAAACAGTATTTTATTTAAAAGTTGTTCTTCAGTAAATATACTTTACCTATAGAGGGGAAGCCCAGACCCTTGTAGCCTTCTCTCACTCCCATGGGGTGGATGCCTGCATTCCCCTCTTTCCCTTTGTTTCTTAAAGGGGCACCAGAGAACACTTGGCTGTTGACATCTCACCTTGGTTGAGTGCTCATGAAACTCAACTACTAGAGCAGGGAGAGGGAGAGAGCAGATAGAGATTTACGTAACTGTGCTTGGTTCTAATCTGCCCCTGGAGATGCCACTGCCTCCACCACTGGGCTGTCAGTAAGGAGCAGGGGCTATGGTTCACTTCTCCCCTTTGAGGAGATAACAGGAGTCAACCTCTCAGGTCCATCTCTGGCAAGTCTGCATTTCTCCTTCACTTCCTGCCCAGACTTGCAGATCTATGCAGTGACGCCCATTCCAGATTATGTGGATGTTCTGCAGATGGATAGGGTACCAGATCGCGTCAAGAGCTTCTATCGCGTCAACAATGTGAGGAAGTTCCGGTACGACAGGCCTTTTCACAAAGGCCCCAAGGACAAGGAGAATGAATTCAAGGTGAACAAATCAGGAAAACAGGGGCAGTACACACAGCAAGTCCAGGGGCAAGCTCAACTTTCTTGGGAACTCACTGTTTTATCCCTCAGGTAGGCAGGGTGTGGCAAAACTTGCCTAACTGCCCACACCTGCCTGTTCCCTCCCTACAGAGCCTGTGGATTGAACGTACCACACTGACCCTGACCCACAGCTTGCCTGGCATCTCTCGGTGGTTTGAAGTGGAGAGAAGGGAACTGGTGAGACATGTCTCAGATGAAGCTGAGCTTCACAACTGCTCCCTCAGCCCCAGCTCTGGGGGCCCTTCTCTAAGGACTGAAGATAAAGAGAGCTTCGGCCACCTGCCTGGCCTAGGCTCCCACAGGTCAACCCTGTGCTAGGATCTTTGTGTATCTTCTCTCATCTAATCCATACAACACCCCTGAGCAGCAGGTATTTTCAGCCTCCCACTTTACATATGAGAAAACTATTCTCTGAGATTCAAAAAGCAGAGTGTTCTGATTTCAGAACTAGTGTTCTTCACTATTTGCTGTACTTCCAAGTGCCTATAAATCAGAAAACAGAAGTGGAAAGTGTCCAGAGAGTCTCAAGTTCACAGGAACAAGGAAGGGGAATCAATACCACAGATCTTAGACCCCAGGTCTCAGGAATATGATGAGGGGTTATCATCGTTTCTGGGATGACTCTGTGTGCTGTGTACCCCTAGGTGGAGGTGAGCCCTCTGGAGAATGCCATCCAAGTGGTTGAGAATAAGAACCAGGAGCTACGCTCCCTGATCAGCCAGTATCAACACAAGCAGGTGCATGGCAACATCAACCTGCTAAGCATGTGCCTGAATGGTGTCATTGATGCAGCTGTCAATGGAGGCATTGCACGCTATCAGGAGGTGAGCTGTGGCCACAGACCAAACCCATGCAGGCAGCCTGGCTGGGAAGGTGACTCACAGGCTTCTCTTTTCAAGATTGTAGTCTCCTTAGGTAGCCTTCCCTACATGCCCTCTCTTGGCTAAACTAACTTGGGATGGTCCTGGAACGAGGCCCTAAGCTCCCTATCACTCCCTATTTCTTTGGCACAGTTCTCTGGTAGGGCCTTTTCTTCATTTTTATTCTCTGAACTCTGATATGGGTAATCTGTAATCCTGATTATGGGAAGATGTTAGGTGCCCTCCAAGAGGAGCCTTGGAGCCCAGCCCATCATGAGAAGTGAGTCGTAGGCTGGATAAGAGGCTAGCCCTTACTCCCAGTCCACCAGTCCTGCCTGCCCTGCCTAGGCCATCCAGGCTCCATAAGGGACTGGGGTCAGCATCCAGACTTAGATGGCTTGGCCACGTTCAATCCTTCTCAGACAAAAAACACACCTCGCCAGGTGTAGTGGCTCACGCCTGTAATCCCAGAACTCTGGGAGGCCGAGGTGGGCGGATCACGAGGTCAGGAGATTGAGACCATCCTGGCTAACACGGTGAAACCCCGTCTCTACTAAAAATACAAGAAAAAATTAGCCGGGCATGGTGGCGGGTGCCTGTAGTCCCAGCTACTCGGGAGGCTGAGGCAGGAGAATGGTGTGAACCCAGGAGGCAGAGCTTGCAGTGAGCCGAGATCACACCACTGCACTCCAGCCTGGGCGACAGAGCAAGACTCCGTCTCAAAAAATATATCATAAAATAAAATAAAACACACACACCTCTAATTGCCAGAAGTTCAAACAGGCCAGACTGGTGTATGTACCTATGAGGAGACAGCCTGGCTACGTTTTAGGTGGCATTAGTGAACTCAAATCTCCTGGGCCCCATATAAGTAGTAGTCCTGGGAAGAGTCTTCCTGACTTGGCCTTTCCTTTCACAGGCCTTCTTTGATAAAGATTACATCAACAAGCACCCAGGAGATGCTGAGAAGATCACCCAGCTCAAGGAGCTTATGCAGGAGCAGGTATGTCTTGGAGAGCTTGGGGACCAGCAGCCAGGTGAGAAAAGCCATGCACTACAAGATGGCTTCAGTTCTCAGGGGCTGCTCATGGTTCACAGAGTGGCCTTGTTTGTGACTCTGATAGGTTCATGTCCTTGGAGTTGGGCTAGCAGTTCATGAGAAGTTTGTGCACCCAGAAATGCGACCTCTGCATAAGAAGCTAATTGATCAGTTCCAGATGATGCGGGCCAGTCTCTACCATGTAAGTTAATCCCTGTCCTGCCCCTGCTGCAGTAGAACCAGGTGTCACTTTCTCCAGACCTATATACCACAAGCCAAAGGAAAATAGGAGGGAGAGAGCCTGGGTGGGGGCCGGGTCAGGGAGAGAGGCTGTCCTCCCCACAGAGGGACAGGGGGCAAGGATGGATGCTATATCCAGGGGAAGGATGCTAAGGATCCTCTCACTCACTCACTCCCAAAGGAGGAGCCAGATTCAAGGGCAGAGAACATGTTTCAGAGCACTGTGCTAGTGAACAGGTTTTCATATGTGGAGGAAAAGAGCTAAAGTATATGGCCCACATGTAGGGATCTTTTTGGAGATGTTTTTCATCTCAAGAACCTAAAGAGGTAGGCATGGCCTGAGCCAGCCTTCTCTCCCCATCTCCCTCCTCCTCCTCTTCTCTTTCTCTGCCCTTCTTCATTCTTCTCCCTCTAATCGTTCTCTTTTCCCTCTTTTTACTCTTCCCCCAACTCCCTTTTCTCCCTCTTTCCCTCCCTCCCTCTCCTTCCCAGCTTCCTCTATCATGTCTGGTGATCCAAGCTCACATCTGAGATAGTCTAGGATGAGCAGTACTTTGATGCTAGCGGTTCTTAAAGGGGTCAGCCAGGTCCTGGGGCTGGACCAGGCTCCTGAAAGTCTCCCTAACTCTGGCCCAGCTCTTCAGCCTCCACAGTAGCATTTGGCCCAAGGACTTAAACACACAAACAGGACTTATATTCCAGGACCAGTATTCCTTGGCAGGGTCTTAGAGGAAGTGCTGACTGGGTGAGGATAGAGCCCCCTAGTCACATACCCAAACCTCATTTTCAACTGTGGAGCCGACTCCAAATGTTTTCTATAGATCCCTTCCTGCTAAACAGGCTGTCTCCCAGATCTTAAGGGGTATGAGCCCAATTACCTGCTGCTACCTGGCACCCAAGCCAAGTTCTCTTCTCATCACCCAGGACCACTGGGTAGTGGCAGGTCGACAAGAAGCAGAGCTGTTTGAGCTGCACGAGGTTGTCATGAGCAAAAAGCATCCCCCTCTAGGAATACCCATGGCCACAGGAGCCCTGAGGGAGGCTGAACTACTTAAACACAGTGGGCCTGACCCATTTGGGGCGGACCTGCTTTGTTCATGGATGCTGCAGGTTCTGGTCATCTCTGTCCCTCCAGGCTCCCAGTGCAGGTCTCAGCCTGTGTGGACAAGTGTGGATAACATGAAAAGAGAAAAAGAAGCTTGTTGTAGTTTGAGGGGTAGGGGCACATTTTCCAGAGGAAAGCCTGGAGATCCTGAAATTTCTCCCATCTGTTAGGATTCTCCCGTGGTATTTCAAGGTGAAATATGCAGAGAAGCTCTTTTACATCTCCGCCTTAAAATTGGAGTGTCGTTTAGTTAGGAACTTGGGCAGTATTGCTGAGCCTGGTGGGTATTCATTCCACTACTTCTCATTCCAAGGTCTCCTGCATACTTCCCCATCACAGCAGGTGACCCAGGCAGGCTGGAGCCTGGCCAGCGGGGAGGTTCTCTGCCATGTGGGTTGCAGCAAAAAGCACAAAACACTTTCCTATATACATCACATTCTTCCGTGTGCACACATATCCTTTATCCAGCTACAGAAATACATTTTAGCCCTCTGTATACTTTGGAAGAAGTGGGTGGAAAACCCGGTGCTTCTTCACACCAAGCTCAGAAATATCCCCAGTGGACGTAGGGCCCCTGTTCACTACAGATTTTGAAGGACTTGAGGAAACCTGAACAGTTATTTCCTCTGAGTTGCACACAGGGACGCAAACAAACATGCTGTCACCTAGTAGGGTTTGAGATCAGAAGTGTGTGCCCAGAAATCTGTATACTTAATATGAATAAATTAAGCTAAAATAGATCTGTGCTATTTTTCAGTTACATACATCAGGATTTTATGTTCTGTCTCCCCGTAGACTGTGTCACAGACAACCCAGGTCACTAAGAGCTGGGCCATTTAGCAGTCTAATAAAACTTGACACCAATCCTTATGTAATTGGTGCCCACTGATTGACAACTAATAATAAGCTCTTCCTCTCCTTTTTCCCAAATCTTGTTCTACTTATTCCATAGCGAGAAAACCTGTTAACACACTCCTATGAGCTCAGACCAGCTTCAGTTCATTCCAGATATGCTTCTCTTAGTGTGGAGTCAACCTGGGGCCTCGCACACGGCCTTGGGTCTAGGTTCCCATGCAGTTAGGAGGGTGTTTTAGTCATGAAGGGGGCGTTGCCAAAAGGAAGCAGTTCAGGTTCAGCCAACCATATGACTCTTTTTTGTTTCTTTTAGATTTTTGATCACCAGTCAGTTCTTCCCTCATATCCCTTAGTTACTTATTTATTCTTTACTCTCTATGAAGGGGCATTCATTTCTCAACAGGAGTTTCCAGGTTTGGATAAGCTAAGTCCTGCATGTTCAGGCACCAGCACCCCACGGGGAAATGTTCTGGCATCCCATAGCCCCATGAGTCCGGAGAGCATCAAGATGACCCATCGGCACAGGTATGGCCTTAGGGCTGGGGAGGGTTCCCTCTGGAGAGGTGAGTCTAAATTGTCAAGGGTCAGACAAAAGAGTCCTTGTGTATACTCATATTCCCTCTTACCCATGCACACAGCAAACACTTATGTGGCTCCTGCCATAGGACCCACACCCTGCATTCAGTCAGTCACTATCCTGGTTAAGGGAAGTGTATACATGATATTGTGGCAGCGTGGAGGAGGGGGCATTTGGGGAAGTCTTGAAGGATAAATAGATGTTTGCTAGGGGTTAGGAGGGTGATAGGGCAAGATCTAGGCAAATTGACTGACACATGCAGAAGCCTCAAGATATGAACAAGCCAGCCTGGTCAGCACTCTGAGTAGAGTCAAGTGGCTGGAGTGCAGGATTCCAGGGCATGGAAAAGGGGATAGGACCAACTCTGAATGGGCCTTGTTCATGCAGGCCTTTGGACTTGATCCCAAGGAGAATGAGGATCACCAAGTCAGTTTTAAGGAAGAAACAGCATAGTGATGTGAACATCAAAGACTGGTTTGCCTGGGCTCAACTGAGAATACTGAAAGTCTCTAGGCCAGGAAGGCCAGGTTGGAGGAGGAGACCAGTGAGAGGAGCCCCTCACTTAGGCTTGTTTTCCAGTGTGAGTGGCAACTCAGCACAGAATGGGCACTTAGGAACAAATGAATGAGAGGTTTTCCTGGTATTGCTAGAGGAGAGCTATTGACAAGCCTTTTGGCCACAGATGTGGAAAGAGGACTGCAGATAGTTCACAGCCGGCTATTTTGGTAGCTTCCCACACTAGGAAGAAGCCTCTGACCAAGGAGCAGATCCCATCATGGTGTGGGGGGTGGAGGGGTGGGCACTGACCCAGACTAATACCCCATAGAAAGGGGGACCTGAGATCTTTGATCTGATTTGGCGTATCTCTTTATTCCTCCTGAGAAACTGCTAATGTCGTTAAACTGAGTGGCCATAAGCCATGTAGCTGTAGATAGAGGCTTGTCCGGTGTACCACACCATTGTCTCTCCCAGACCAAGGGCTCCTGAGTAGCAGGGTACAGCTCAGGACTGCTCCAGGCCTCAGATGGGTATGAGCATTGGCTGTGGAACCCTCCAAACCGGTGGTAGCTGAAACCAGGGATGACTGTTCCACACATTCTGCTCTATTGTCCCCCTGCCACCTGCCATCGGCCTGACTCCTCCCTATTTCCCACTCTTGCTCACAGCCCCATGAACTTGATGGGCACAGGCCGCCATTCATCATCCTCTCTCTCCTCACATGCGTCTAGTGAAGCAGGAAACATGGTGATGCTGGGCGACGGCTCCATGGGCGATGCTCCCGAGGACCTGTACCACCACATGCAGGTACAGAGCTGTCCAGGGAGAGTGGGCCAGGGCACCATGCCTACAGGACTCACCTTGCTGTTGCAATGTCTGATCTGAGGGCTGGCAACCCTGCCTAATTCTCTAGCTCCGAATTCAGAACACCCCTCATCAGAGCTAGAAAGCCGCCTTTCCTCCACACACCATCCTAAGTATCAGTTCCCAGGCCTTATTTCCCAAGAAGAAAATCCAGCTTCAGCCCTGGTTGCTTTAAGAGATCCCATGGGAAAGATCCTCTGCCAGAGTGCCCCCTTGCCTGGCATTCCTGTTGGCTTAGTCCTGCTTCCTCCGTGGTCACCGTAGTATGGCCAGCCCAACAACTTTGTTCCATATGGGTGGTATGGGTGGCCCCTAGTGCCCAACCATTAGCCTGGCCTCCATCAGGGCTCAGAGTATAGCATAAGGCACTGGGGCAGAGCACCTCAGGGCATGAAAAAGCCAACTCTGTGCCAGCCCTAAAGTCCTGGCCATTCAGACCTCTATCCTGCTGATTTTTCTCCCTTTGCAGCTTGCGTATCCCAACCCCAGGTACCAGGGCTCGGTCACCAACGTCTCTGTTCTGTCCTCGTCCCAGGCAAGCCCTTCTTCCTCCAGCCTGAGTTCCACTCACTCAGCACCATCCCAGATGATTACCTCTGCCCCTTCCAGTGCCCGAGGTAAGGACGGCAGGGTGCTACTTGCAGAATGGAGAAGAGAGGTCTTCATGAACCCCACTCAGCTTCCCGTTATCTGTGACTGTGTCATTGAGAGCAGCCCTGTGACTTAGAGAATACTCATTTGTGCTTTTACCACTAAGGACTCAAGTGTTCCTGCCTCCAGGCCTCTTCTCTGGCTGGCTTTAGACTCCACTCTGAGCAGTGGCTGCTGCTGTGTAGCCATTGCATTTCTACCTCAGTGAAAGGACACACAGCTTAGAAGAAAGCTCACTTCTTTCTCATTGAAATTTTTGCTAGAACAAAGATCAAAGTCAAGGCAAAAGTCAGTATTTTGTCTTGAGGAATCAGGCATGATGACAAAGTATGGAAAGTAAATCGGGAGACTAAAATTAACCCTGGAAAATGTTATTCTAAAACAGTAACAGCAACCAAAAAGTTTTTCTTCAGTTGGGAAAGGCTTTCTCAGAAGAGATGGCTCTGTAAAAACCTATTTACTTTGCCAATTATTACTTGATTTCTAGTTCAGTTGAATAAATATTGTTCTTTGAGAGCCAGCATCTTTTTCACATTCTAATCCTAGTTCCCAAGTGAAAGTTGATTCTGCCCTTGTAGACAGAAACATTTGCTGTGGAATGGAAATTAGCTGTGGTAAATAGGATCTAATGCTTTCCAGGGTTGGCTTTGCAGGGTAGTGACAGTGGTCTGAACTTGCCAACCAGTCACTTGCTCTTGCTTCCAGGCTTCAGAAGGAGGAAGTCTCTTTGTTCTTCTCATTATTATGAAACCAAAGAAAAATAGCACAAATTTATTTATTTATTTATTTTTATTATTGTACTTTAAGTTCTGTGGTACATGTGCACACGTGCAGGTTTGTTACATATGTATACATGTGCCATGCTGGTGTCCTGCGCCCATTAATTCGTCATTTACATTGGGTATATATTCTAATGCTATCCCTTCCCCCTCCTGCCACCCCACAACAGGCCCCAGTGCTGATGTTCCCCACCCTGTGTCCAAGTGTTCTCATTGTTCAATTCCCACCTATGAGTGAGAACATGCAGTGTTTGGTTTTCTGTCCTTGCAATAGTTTGCTCAGAATGATGGT